TAGTAGAGGAAGGGAAGATGGATGGGATCACATATTCCAAACAACAATTAATATCTGCCCTATTAGTGGGACACCTCAGTTTTTCCTAGTCTTTTGCTATTACTCACAATGCTGCAGTAGATAATTGTGTACATAATTTTGTACTTGTGTTTATAATCCCCATACATGGGATTGCTGGGTAGCAGCATGTATTTAAGATATTGATAGATATTGCCAAATTACCTGCCAAAGGGATTGTAGCCATTTGTACTTTCACTGGCAATGCTGTATAAATTCTTTATTGCTTTATAAGTTTAGAGTTCACATATCCCTCCCTTATGCCCAAATGTGGAAAGAGAGAATGAAGTGTTTTAAGTATCATTTTAAATATATGCTTTTTCTAGACCTTGTTTGGTATCAGTTTGGCAATGATTTCACAGGTTTCAGATATACACATCTGTGTGAATATGTACCTATACATACATACATATATATATGTATGCTCCTACATACCTAAAGTCACGTGTGTGAGTGTACGCATGTGTGTATATACTCGAAAAATGTATATTGTTTCCTTTGAAGAGTCTCCTGGGCTGTTAATTGTTAGTAGAATGTGACTTTAAAAAATGTTTTTATTGATTTTTAAAGCGTGGGGAAGGGAGAGAGAGAGAGAGAGAGAGAGAGAAACATGGATGAGAGAGAATCATTGTTTGGATGTCTTGTGCATGGCCCCAATGGGGATCAATCCTGCAACCCAGGCATGTGACCTGACCAGAAATCAAACCAGTGACCTTTTGGTGCATGGGTCAGTGTTCGACCACTGAGTCACACTCGCCAGGCTAGAATGTGACTTTTAGAACCGAGAAAAGCAATTTTAACTAAAAAACAATTGTATTTGGTACCTACTTGTGAAACTTTTAAAGAATTCATTTAAACCACTTGAAGTAGTTTAGTGGAACTGTGTGAGGAGCTCTGGTTAGCAGGGTTTGGTATGTAAAGCCAGTAGTCACTGGGTGCTGCCTTCAGGGGATGTGCTTAGCATGCAGAACAGGAATGTTTGAGCAGAGCCAGCATTCTTGTTCGGAAGAATTTTTCCATCCTCCTCCACTTGTGGTTAAGTTCTTAAATTGTTCCTATTTCTTTAGTCTTCCCAAACTTGATACTCTATAGCAATTGAACCTTATTCCTGTATATTTTATAATTAAATATTCCTCTTATAAAATCCATCTGTAATTTTAAATTCTCAAACAGCTAAAGCTTCCAGGTTTTAAAAATGTTTTGTTTTGAAATATTTTAGGCTTACAGCAAAATGGTAGAAATAGTCCGGAGTTCTCATCTATCCATCACCCAGCACCCACCAAAGTTAACTGACCATTGTACAGTTATCCACACTAAGAAATTAACATTGGTACAATACCATTAGCTAAACTACACACTTAATTTGGAGTTTGCTGGTTTTCCCACGACTTTCCTTTTCATGTTCCAGTATCCAGTTCCACATTGGGTTAAGTTTTCTCAGTCTCTTCCACGGTGTGATATTTCCGCAGTCTTTCATGTCCTTAAGGCTTGAAGGGCACTGGTTAGTTATATTATAGAATGTCTCTCAATTTGGGCTTTTCTGTTTTTTTTCTCTTCATGATTAGATCGAAGTTATAGATTTTTGGCAAGAATACTGCAAAGGCAATATGCATTAGGGGTGTTGTTAACCTTGATCACTTATTTCAGCTGGGACATGTCAGATCTCTCCATTGTAAAGTTACTATTTTTGCCTTTATAATTATTCATGGTGGATATACTTGAGGATTGTGCAAATGTCCTATTTGTCAAACTTTCACCCACTGATTTTAGTATCCATCCGTGGATCTTATCTACAATTATTACTGTGGTGTTCCAACAGTAATTTTTCTGTTCTCCATCTTCTACATTTATTAATCAAAATTCTTCTGTAAGGGAGAGCAGTGTTCCTTCCCTCTCCCCTCCCTCCCTTCCTTCTTTTGTTGGTTCCTTCCTTCCTGTTTGTACTCATGGCATTTATTTTATTATGTAGGTTAGCTAATACAGTCATTTCTTTTGTTGCTTAAATTGTTCCAACTTTGGACATCAGGAACTCTTTCAGGTTGACTCCTGTACCTTTTAGACATGCCCCACCCTATTTTTTTTTTCAGGCAGTCCTCCCTTCCCACCACCACCATAAGATGCTCCAAGCTCTTGTATTTTCTCTGTCCCAGCCCCGCAGTGGACTGCTGCTCCAAGGAGCCCTTGTTCCGTCTATTGGAGAATGGTATTTAGGAATCAAGATCTAGGCACTAAGTGTGCTTGTTGCTTGGAAAGTGGTTACTTGTAGGCACTTTTTTTGATGCTTAAGTTTGGTTTTTCATTTGTTTACATATACTGCATTACCTCCTTTTGGATTTTGCATTAGTGTTTAAGGTAGGGTAAAATAGAAATACAATTTTAAGAAAAATGGATTATATGTTGTAATATTTCATGTTGCTTTTGCTTGTTACAGAGGATAAGAAATTTCTTCTATAACATCAATTTTTATATATAAACTTCTTTCCTCACATATATCTTTATTTGATAACTTTAGAAACCAAACACAGATGACTGTTGGGCTTTGAAAGGAAAAAAAGGGTGAAGATTTACTCCTTTTAATTTTTTGTGCCTTCTTCCTATTCATTCATTCACTCATTCATTCACTCGTTCATTCATTCAGTTTTATTGAGGTATAATTGACAAAACGATAAGATATATACTTTCTCTCCCTTTAAGCTCATGCTTAGAGAAGGGGAAATGGAATTAGTTCTTCCTTAGTTGGTGTTTATAAGTGAGTTTTTCTGTGGTTCTCAACCTTCTAGCCCTTTAAATACAGTTCCTCGTGTTGTGACCCCAACCATAAAATTATTTTTGTTGCTACTTCATAACTGTAATGTTGCTACTGTTATGAATCGTAATGTAAATATCTGATATGCAGGATGGTCTTAGGTGACCCCTGTGAAAGGGTCGTTTGACCGCCAAAGGGGTCGCGACCCACAGGTTGAGAACCATTGATCTAAAGTAAAACGGTAAGTTTCTTCAACCCTAAATTCACCCTTCCTCCCCAGTCATTGGTGTATCCTCCAGACCTTTTTCTTTATATATGCACAAAGATGATATTAATAATGTCTGGAAGATGAATGGGTTTATGCTCTATGTATTTTTCTGCAGCTTGCATTTCATTTAAAAATGAATGTTCATAATCTTTTCATTTTTCTATATAGAGGGCCATCTAGATTTTGATTAGTTGAATAGTTGAGAGGGTTAAGGATGATGAGAATCCAAAATCAAAGATCACGTGAACAAACATTAAAGGAGAGGCAGTCTGGTCTCTGTAAAGTGAATCGTGTCTTACTAATCTATGGCTTTTTGAGGGAATTACCAAAAAATCTTTGTTGAGCCCAGCCAGCGTGGCTCAGTGGCTAAGTGTTGACCTATGAACCAGAATGTCACGGGTTTGATTCCTGGTCAGGACACATGTCTGGTTGCGGGCTCAGTCCCAAGTCCCCAGTATGGGGCGTGCAGAAGGTAGCCAATCAGTGATTTTCTCTCATCATTGATGTTTCTATTCTCTCTCCCTTCCTCTCTGAAATCAATAAAAATATATTTTTTAAAAAATCCCACATAAATGTTCGAGCCGCAGTTTGCCGACCACTGCCCTAGTAGATGTATCCATAAACACATTGCTATGTGAGATGTCTGCGATTTTGCTGCCTATGGTTTCTTCTAGGATTTTTATGGTTTCACAACTTACATTTTAAGTCTTTTATCCATTTTGAGTTTATTCTTGCGTATGGTGTAAGTTGGTGGTCCAGTTTCACTTTTTTTGCGTGTGTCTGTCAAATTTTCCCAACACCATTTATTGAATCGAGACTGTTTTGACTTCATTGTATGCTCTTGCCTCCTTTCTCAAATATTGAGTGTAATGGCTTGGGTCCATTTCTGGGTTCTCTGTTCTGTTCCATTGATCTATATGCCTGTTCTTGTGCCAGTACCAGGCTGTTTGGATTGCGGTGGCTTTGTAGTATTACTTGAAATCTGGTATTGTAATTCTTCACATAGAATAACAATAATTCTGTGAATTAGGTACTATTATTCCTATTTTACAGATGAGAAAATGTAGGTATGGAAAGAATACATAACTTACCTAAAGTCATACATTTAGTGAATGGTAAATTTACCTTAGTCATTATTATTATTACTACTACTAAACTTTTTTCAAAGACCTGGCTACTTTGCTTAAAAAGAACTGCCTTTATTGTTAGTCATTGGACAACTGTTTTAAAAATTATTTTGGAGTCACAAACCTCTTTGAGAATCTGAGAAAAGTTGTAGATTCTTTTCCCAGAAAAATGCATGGCCCACAAATTTTTGTATAAAATCTTAATCTGGGCATGTAGCATTTGAAAGCTATCTGTGGATTCTAGAATAATAGTCATCAAATTTTAGTGATTATATAAATCACCTGAGTTGCTTGTTAAAGTGCAGATTACCTGATTTCACAAATCCTCCCTTTAATAAGCACCTCAAATGGTACACTGTATATGTGGGATGTTTTAGCAGCACTGTCTACAAAGCTCTTCCCTGAGATTGGAGTCTTGTTATCCCACTGCTATTTCAGAGTAGCTACTACCCAGGACCTAAGTGTTGTGAAGCAGGTCTTTGTTATCAAATGATTGTTCATTATCACAACTGCCATGAAAAACTCTGAGGTCGATGTTAAGGTATAATGTTATTGCTAATACTGCCAATCTTTTATCTTCCAATTTTCTGTTTAAAAGAATATCATATATGCCTGAACAAATATGATTTATTTCCCAATTATTTGAATAGTCTGGAGATTATTGGTTTCCTTTGATAATTAGCAACTCTCTATTACTGTTTTTTTAAATAGACTTTTCTCTCAGCATGTTTATTTCTTAACCTATTTAAACAATAGTTTAAATTACTTATTTAAATTTTTTTGTAATTATTTTTATTTGTAGGATGAACTTTCTGATGTTAGCCAAGGAGGATCTAAAGCTACCACTCCAGCATCAACAGCTGCTTCAGATGTGTCAGCACTTCCTACTGACACGCCCTTAAAGGAAGACACTGAAGGATTTGTGAAGGTTGCAGATGCACCAAATAAGGCAGACATAGGCAAGCATATTGAAATTCAAGTAGCCCAAGAAACTAGAAATGTGTCAACAGGTACGTGACCCTAGTTCTTTTTTTCTTCTTTAAGAGAGGGGAAGTAGAGGAAAGAGAAAGAGAAGAAACATTGATACGAGAAACATCAATTGGTTTCTTCTTGCTCACGCCCAAATCGGGGATCAAACCCACAACCTGGGTATATGCCCTGACTTTTTGGTGTATAGGACGATGCTCTAACCAACTGAGCCACCCTAGTTCTTTACTTACTGGCAAAGTTTTCAATAAATCCAGATGATGTGGGTATGAGAAAATTCATCATTGTGTTGTTGATGCTTTGCATTTATAAAATAAAGCATTGGTTGCCAACCGGTTGTCCTAAAGGTTGGCGACCGCTGAAATAGATAAATAATTCGTTCTAATCAATTATACTTAAGCTTAAAGAGGTGATGATTAAATAAAGTTTTGGAGAGAAAAATGTTAGGAGCTGGAGGGTTGGAGAGCCTGAAAGGTAGGAGGACACTGTTTTTCTCTCCCTGCCTCAGATCATTAGTCTGAGTTCTGGCCTAGGATACACTGCATTGTGTCTCAAGAAATACAAATGAAAACTTTCTTTGGTTATTTATTAGTTTCTGATATTAACTGTTAATTAAGTATATGACATATTGTCTAACCCTATGTGTCCTAGAATATACTCTTTAAAAAACTTTTTTATGATCAAATGATGTATTTACAACCATAGAAATGACAAGATTTTTATATAAGGGCTCTATTCATTAATTAAGTCATCTTGTCCTTTTGTAAGGCTCTGCGGAAAATGAAGAGAAGTCAGAAGTTCAAGCGATCATCGAATCCACCCCTGAGTTGGACATGGACAAAGATCTCAGTGGATATAAAGGCTCAAGGTGCTGTAATGTCAGACATTGTCTCCCTCTTTTCCCCTCTCTCAGAAGTACGCTGTTGTTTTCTGGTCTCTGACCAGACTGAATGCATTCACATGTTTTGCTGAAGAAATGTTGGTATTGTATTTCAGTTTCTGTTTTTGAAACTGACATTGTACATGGTTTAAATGTTTTATGAACTATGGCCTTTACAGAATTAGGTATTAGAGCATGGAAGGTCAGGGAGAAAAGACAGCCAGAGGATATCCCTACATGTGGGAACCTAAGGAAGCATAGAAGCAGGTGTGGGGGAAATAACAATTTGAGCAAAATTTATTCCTCTCTCAGACCAGGAAGAAGAGACTGCTCCCTTCAGAACTGAAAGTGTCTCATTTCACATGGGGAGATGCTTAGTGGTGGAAATTGTTAGATAGCATCTTAACCAAGGTCATCTGAATAGATTGATGTTCAAGAATGTCAAACAGGAGCTGCTACCTTTTCATTCCTTCTATAAATTTTATCCTTTAATTAATTAATTAATAATTACCATTAAAAATACATGCCATTTATTGGTCACTTCTAGCATTGTGCAGTGTGCAGTAGTGGTTAAAAGCACAAACCTAGGGTAAGACTGTGGGTTCAAATCCTGACTTGGATTTGAATCTGAGGTAAGTTTCCTCATCCATAAAAGGAGTTTATGATACTTCAGATAGTTGTGAGAAGTGAATGAGTCAGTACATGTTAAATCACTGGCAAAGTGCCCAGTTCAATAAATGTTAGCTAATATCATCATTATTTTGTATCATTTGTTCTTAATTACCTATATGAGATAGAGGTCTTCATCTCCATTTTACAAATAAGGAAACTCAGAATGTTCAAGACTGCTAAGCCAGCAAGAGGTAGAGCTGGGTTCAGTCCAGGACTGTGAAAACTTAATGTATAAAAAGCAATTTGCTTCTGGTCCAGTCTCTCCTAAGCCTGGGAGATGCAGCTCCTTATTAACAGTTGTGCGTTTCTGTCATTCTGAATCTCTTTTAAAAATTTAAAAAATTATTTTTATTAGACTAGTGCGTGTATGTAGTATTAGGGTTAAGTGGTCATGCATAACATGACGGGCAGTGGTAGTCCCTTCCCCTCCCCACTGTTCATTCCCACCCGCAAGAGGTCATCTCTGTTACTTCTTAGCTCCCCTTGGCTCTACATCTTCAGGTCACATTCTTATGCAGGTCTTCCTGGTCCCTCTTTCGCAGCTGAGATTCTGTAGGAAAATTATCCTAATGCCCTAAGGCATCTCTTGTATTTAATGGATGTGTTAGCACTCCTGAGCATCTAGAATAGTAATAGCTGTCTATGCTTTCTTTGGAAGGATTGAGGACATGACGATGTTCTTGGTAGAGGGGTCTTCTTTCTTGTACCTTGTATATAGTAAATTTTTCATCCGTAAAAATCATATCTCCCAGTTCTGAGAAATTTTCTCTTTATTTCTTCTTCCTGTTTTCCTCTTTCTTTCTGGAACACCTGTTAGTGGACACTGAATATCTTGGCCTGACCCTCATTTTTCTGTTCTCTCCTATTAATGTTCTAATTTCTGGATGATTTATTCCAACTTTACCTTTCAACCCTCATTGATGTTTTTTCTCCCTAAAAGTTTTTTGTTTTCAATATTTATTTTGGCACGGTGCAGGTGCTCGTTAGCAGGACTAAATTGGGGGAGGGAGAGGGATGAAGAGGGAGGACATCCGTAATACTTTCAACAATAAATATTTTAAAAATATATTTATCCCGGGAAAAAAATCTTTGTTTTCAAGTTCCTGTTGCTGCCTGCATTGTCTCCTTTTGCTCTGAGTGCCTCTGTCATAACCCATTTATTTTGGTTCTTTTATATAGAGAGGCCTTTATATGTCTGCTCTGTGGCTATTTTGCTCAGACTGAAGTAAATGACTTATTCTCTGGTGTCCTGCCTATAACATTTAAACTTGGTTTCCATTTTCAGGGAGCTATGTTGCAAGAAGGGAGGTCTGAGATTGGATCTAGGCCTCATACTGTTTCTTGTGTCATCTTTCAGCCCGTATTTCTGTTATATGTCCCCCGTGGATGCTCCTCTCCAAAGATTGCTGGTTCCTTCCATTCCTGGGCCTTTCAGGGGTTCTGGCAGCATACTGACTTCCTCCCTAACCCCATTGGTTTAGGTGTCAGCTTTCTCTTGTCTGTTAAGTCAGTTTCTACTCCTTGCCAGTCTGTTTTCCACCTTACAGAATTTTGTTTACATTTCATTTGCCCTGGTTTCTTTTTCTATTCCTTATGTCCTTGTGGGTTCTTTCTAATTTCTTTCCTGTCATTTTAATTGATTTTTTAATTATTGGGTGTTAAATGACTATGTTCAGTTCACCATGTTTAATTGGAAATTCTGCAAAAATTTATTTTCCTATTACTATAACATTAATGTATAAACATACCAGTACATGTACAGTATATCCCCACGTCCCTCCACTCCTGCAAAAAGGGTTACATTATACATAATGTTTTGCTGTTAGCTTTTAAAATATTTTTTTAATTGACTTCAGAGAGTAAGGGAGAAAGAGAAAAAAACATTAATGAGAATCATCAACCGGCTGCCTCCTTCACAGCCCCTACTGGGGATGGAGCCTGAAACCTGGGCTTATGCCCTGACCAGGTATCAAACCAACAACCTCTTGGTACATGGGTCGATGCCTAACCATTGGGCCATACCAGCCAGGCGAGAAATGTTTATAAATCACATTTTGTATTATTTGTAAATGATAGGTAAAAAAAAAAGCCTATGTAACTTAGCCTATTGTATTCATTTAGACTGTTAAAGTCCTTATGATATTTGTTGATTTGGTTTTGTTGTTTTTATTGCATAGCACTCCCACCAAAGGCATAGAGAACAAAGCTTTTGATCGCAACACGGAATCGCTCTTTGAAGAACTGTCCTCAGCTGGCTCAGGCCTAATTGGAGATGTGGATGAAGGAGCAGATTTATTAGGTATGATGGCTTATCTGAAGACATAGCATACTGTTTTAAAAATATATTTATTAAAATAAGAAATTTTAACACTTGATTTTTCTGAGAGTTCTCTGAGTATTCTGTTTCAACTCTATGGGAAATGTGATCATTTTAGAATTTGTCATTGAAGAACATCTGGTTTGAAAAGAATATAGTGAATTTGGCTCTTTTACTCTTTTTTTAAAAAATATATATATATTTTATTGATTTTTTACAGAGAGGAAGGGAGAGGGATAGAGAGTTAGAAACATCGAGAGAGAAACATCGATCAGCCGCCTCCTGCACACTCCCCACTGGGGATATGCCCGCAACCAAGGTACATTCCCCTGACCGGAATCGAACCCGGGACCCCTGAGTCTGCAGGCCAACACTCTATCCACTGAGCCAAACCGGTCAGGGTGGCTCTTTTACTCCTTATTGGTGACCTTTGCCAAATAGATCAACTACTCTCGGCCTTAGTTTCTTTGGCTATTAAAGGAGGAGGTTGGACTCCGTTTCAGTGGTTGGGCAAACGCAGCTCACGGGCCAAATCCAGCTCCTCTTTGTATGTAAGGAGAGTTTTCTTGGAACACCTTCACACTCATTTGTTTATTCATTGTCTATAGTTGCCTTTGCACTACAATGTGGGACCTAAGTAGTCTGCAACAAAGATATGACTTAAAAGCCTAAAGTGTTCACCATCTGGCCTGTACAGAAAAAGTTTGCCGACTCCTGCTCTAGGTGATCTCTAAAGTCCCTTCCAGTAATAATTACATGACTATAATTCCTGTGAAGTAGTTTTGGTGTATAACTTCAAACCTTACAGAAATTGAAAACCTCATAGTATTAAAAATCTGTGCCTCTGTGTTAAATTATTGATTACCAGTTATGTCCTTGAGAGTTTGAAGTATTTTCTGAAGGAAACATTAATCCTGTATAAACAGAGCTCTCAGTCTATCTATCTAATAAGAGAGATTGAAAGTATATAAATAAAAGTGTTCTGTGTTAGACATAGACTCCCACTGTTAAAATCTAAGGAAAACATTGCAAGTAATTGAATGAGTTTGCATTTCTCAAGGGAGAACTAAAGGATTAACTCATAAAGAATATTCCATTTTTACATTTAAATTTATGGTTTAATTTTAGTTAACATAAAAGTATGAAAAGTTCTTTAAGATTTGATTGGTTTAAGAAACTGACTCCTTGGCAAAATTGAGGGGCTGATGTAAAAAATGCTAGAAAGAAGAATTTTGAAATGTTTAAATTCAGATTCAAATTTATATACAGTAAAATTCACTCTTTTTGGTGAATATTTTTAGTTTTGACAAATGCATAGATTTATGTAATGACCACCAGAATCATAAAAATCACACCCAAAATTTCCTTCTGCCCCATTGAATTTAACCAGAATGAGTACTTTTTTTGTTGCTTTTAGTTGATTTCAGAGAAGGGAGAGAGAGAGATAGAAACATCAATGATGAGAGAGAATAATCAATCAACTGTCTCCTGCACACTCCCTACTGGCGACAGAGCTGCATCCCAGGCATGTGCCCTGATCGGGAATTGAGCCATAACCTCCTGGTTCATGGGCTCATGCTCAACCATTGAGCAACACTGGCCGGGCCAGAATGAGTACTTTTTTAAAAATATATATATTTTACTGATTTTTTACAGAGAGGAAGGGAGAGGGAAGAGCCAGAACCATCAATGAGAGAGAAACATTGATCAGCTGCCTCCTGCACGCCCCCCACTGGGGATGTTCCCACAACCAAGGTACATGCCCTTGACCGCAATCGAACCCGGGACCCTTGAGTCTGCAGGCCGATGCTCTATCCACTGAGCCAAACCAATTCTGGCCAGAATGAGTACTTTTTAATGTAGTTTTGTACACTTTGCTGCCTCATAGTCCAATATTGAATAATATAATGTTTAAAGGTGCTAGCCCACAGTTTTTTTTAAAGAGTTAAGTAGCCACATAATACTTAGAAATAATTGTGGTCTTTTAAATCAAATATTTTCTGAAAGCTTTCATCTTTAAGTCAGAAAATTAAACATAATAAATAGGTTCAAAGCAAAATCCTGACACCGTGGCTTCCTTTCCACTTTGAAAAGAATAAATAGTTTTATATTTTCCCTTTTGCAGATATTGGTAGATTTATTTCTAGAAAGCTTCAGATTAGGAGATTTAAAAATACTATCGTAAGTGTAGCAACGTGTGCCTACTTTTTGGTCAGTGATAAGAAATGAAATTTCCAAGGCACATATTTGTTCTTGGCTTCTCTTCTGGACAGTTCAGTGACAGCCACTGAGGTCTAATACTCGCTAAAGGGAATATCGCTAACCTAACAAAATTGTTTCCCAACGTTCGTTAATGGGCCCGTTAACGAGCTCATTATTCATTTTTCTAGTTACCGTATTATTATAAAACTCTCTTCTCTAGTTTGAGGATATAAAGTGTATTGTAATCATATATGTGCTTAGTTTACTTTTTTCTGGTTTTAATAATTTAAAAGAGATAACTATCCCTCACAGTTTGTCCTTTATCTGGATTGGTATCTCATCCCCTGACTTTATTTTTATTGATCCCTTTCTCCATTCACTCTAGTCCCTTATTCCCAATAGCCACACTCTAGAAATTGAAAATTACACATTCATACATCCTTCTGTTGGGATTTTCTTTCTCTTGATTACATTCTGTATTTTCTACTCCATCTTTACTAACTTCTTTATATTATTACTGAAACATGTTCAGTTGTTGTCCATTTAAAAATAAAAATACTGCCCTCCTCTGACCATCTAGCTTCAGTTGCTACCCCAGCTGCCACTCTCCGCCCATTTCTAGTCACGCTTTTATGCAGCAATATCAATGGAGTATCTGTTATGGGACAGTTCTAGTGCCATGAGACAGCAGTGAACAAAACAGGCTTCTTAGAAGTGTGGCTTCTTTTAACCAGCACGCTTTCCCAGTCCCACTGGCATCTCAGCCGGCTGCAGTCTGAGTGGTTTTCTCCCCCACCCTTGCCTTAGACAGCCTCTTATTTGCTGTGTCCAATGGTTCCTTCTCAGTTATTTCACATGACTTCTCAGATGGCATTTGTCTTTCAAACTGTCTTTTGCTGGGTTTCTGGAATATCAGACTTACCAGACTGCCCTGCATGCTTTTCAGTCTTCTCTGCAGGCTCCCATTCTCTGCCCCTCTTTCAGCTGTCAGTGTTCCTGTCCCAACGCTGCTGCTCTGTTTGGGAAATCTTATTTGCTGTTGTTGTTTTTTGGCTTTCATGGCTGATGGTTCCAAAGTTTTCATCGCCATCTAAGATCTTTTTCTAGATCCCCAGGCTATTACTTTCAAACAGCCCATAGCCAGCTCTAAGATGATTTGTAGGGCTTTACACTTGATATGCCTAAAGCTCAGTTCATCATCTTTATTGTCCTGTCCTCCAAGGCTCTTCTTGTACCAACTTGTACTAACTCAGTGAATAAATGACCTCACCAGCCACTCAGGTCTCCATTCTAGATCTCTCCTTATTTTACAACCAATTGCAAATAATTGTTTGTGCCCTTTCTTTAAAGAACACAACTGTTATCTGCCTCCGTTTGGGCTCTGCTTAAATGGCACACCCTCCTCTAGGAATTGTATCTTGATCCCATAGTTAAAGCTTAGTTGTCACTGAAATACATTTTCATAGCACTGCATTTTATTTGTTATGCCACTCTTCATTCTTTACTGTAATTTTTATATACCTTTCTTCTTGAATAGACCATAAGCTCAATGTGGCCAACACAGCTATGTCTTTTGCTCATTGTTGAGTCTTCACTACTTTGCACAGCAGCTAAGTGAATGAATTCCTAAATAGTTCTAACAGTTTTGCTTCACCTCTAAATCTGTGATTCTTCATCTTTTGGAGTTAAAACTCCTTTCCTGAAGAGATCAGTGTACTTTGGGGGAAATGCCTGTACAGAACTGGATAAAATTGTGTGTACTTTCTCAAGAGGTTAACAGATAAATTGGAAGCCCATCTATGGACCCAACTTGAGACTCAAAGGTAAAATCAAACGAGGTGTCTATGATTTTGAAAACTACCAGGGAGTTTTTTGCTTGTTTTAGTAGGTAAAGTTTCCAAATACGCTAGACCTAAGTTTATGTTTGGTTGAAGTCTTTAATAGAAATGGGGCCATTTCCAGTTATGTTTTCCTTTTGGTTATGAGTTACTGTTTATTGATATATTTCAAAATGAAAATTTTGAACAATTCTTTTGATGATATGTTAAATTTATACACTAGATTTTAAGAGAATTCTTCATTAGGAATGTGTAAACTTTAGCAACTACATTATAGGTCATGATTCTCATATAATACATATTTTGATTTTTCATATTTACAATATTTATACTTTATTGTGTTTTGTTAATGGTTTCTACACATCTTTCCAATTTTATTGTCTCCTCTCATTTTGAAGTAAATGAGTGTAGATCTTGCTTTCTGAAAACAATCTAATTGAGGTTCTCTTTCATTTTTCTCTTGGGCTGCTTACCCAGGGGAATATTCTGGTGTGTATGCTTTTAAATACTGTAATGTACTGCTTTTTAAGCAAGGTGTTCTTGGCTGCTGTTCTCATTTAATGCTTTCTCATCATTTTTTTTCTGCTCCGCCATTTTTTGTGCCCTACACATATTTTCAGCTTTTATGCTTATCTCCCTGTATGCTTGAGAATTTATAGCAAACAAGGTCATTATATAAACTTCTTAAAACAAGTCTAAACTTTATTTCTCCTGACTCTATAGCTTTATTGAAAAGTTAACATTAGTGTTTAAATATTTTCACATATCTTGCCAAAATTCATTTTGAATTGGAATGTGAAACTTTTTTTAGGTTTTCTTTATTTTCAGTTTTTGGAAAATACATAATTAAACAAACATTATTCCTGATACTTAATTCTTCATGGTAGTAGTATTCTGATCTTTGAGAATATTTGAGATAATTATAGTACAGACAAAATATGAGTCCATATATAAGCATTGAATTTCTAGCATTGCTAGGTTGGTTTTATGTTAAGTTATCTTTAAGTCATTTGAAGTATTACCTTTATTAAAAAAAAATAAGGGACATGCTAACTCTGTTACATAGTTTTCTTTAGATATATTTTCTTCCTCTTTAGCTGTGTTATGAATATTGCTTCTCCCCTTGTATATAATTTTCTAACGTTAGCTTAGGGTAAATGAGCAATGAGTTTGGTTTTTCTTTGCTTTTTTTCTTGGCTTATTTTTGTGACTTTTTGAGATACATTCCCTACTGTGTTCTTTTATTTCTTCTGTTTCCTCTGAGTAATAATTTAGTTTTCTTCTCCTTAAAGATCACTATTTGGATCTTGCATTGAATGCTCTACCTGCCTACCTTAGAGGACTTACCAAATTACTAAACACGGTTCTGTAAAGTGACAACTGAACGTTCTCATTAACATTAACACTTTGAAGGAAACTTATGTTACTGATCTGGGGTTTTTAATGTAATTAAATTATATTTTATTATGTAAGAGAATTGGTAAAGCATTTATTTTTTAGGTCTGACCTATCTGAGCATCTTTAAGAATGAGGGAAATCATTGTACTTTCTGTCTTTTGCACATCATTATGCATTAAATCATGGCATTGTGATTCCAGATGGTTTTCATATCATGCATAAAACTACAGATTAACGACCTATTTTCATGTTGTTTCTTATACAAAACATTTCTTGTTCTTTGTTTTTGCGTTGCATGGAATGCATGGGCTTTCAGAACATAATTTCTTTGGTAAGGTTTCATCTGCATTGGGGTTTCTTCTTTCGTTGGCCTTGTTTCTGCCTGTTCTCTATGAATAAGGTCTAATTTTTTGGCAAAAGACTAAAATACCAACCTATGATTTGGAAAGATTTCTGATCCATATTAATCCTGTTCCTTTTCCTCCCCCAAAATGCTGCTATATTTTATAATGTTTGGCAGAAAAGTCTTGATCTTTTTTAAATATTTTGAGAAAATACAGACTAATGTTTATAAAGAATTGACTAGCGAAATCTTTGGCATTGTTTTGCGCTGGAAAATTATAATTTTATAACCCACTCAAGTAGATACATCAATTTAAATTATAGACAAAATGAGATTACTAAAGATAAAATTTATAAAATTTGGAACGATAGCTTATAAGTCACATAATTTTTGATAAATTTGTTTTCAAAGTTTTTATTCCCCCCCCCCTTTTTTTTTGCCTAGGAATGGGTCGTGAAGTTGAGAATCTTATATTAGAAAATACACAACTGTTGGAAACCAAGTAAGTATATATAGAATTTTAATAAGGGAAAGATGCTGAATTTTCTTCTTGTCTAAGTCAATGACATTTCTCCATTTCAACACAGGACTAATGCAGTCTTATTACCCCCATCTTATTCTCCTTCTCTGTGTATGGGTTTGTACACACACACACACACACACACACACAAGTCATGGGACCTAATTTCACAGATGAGTAGTTTTCATTGCTCAGTTTGTTTGCAGAGATTTTTATCTTTTCAATATACAGTTATCTGGGCTTTCTGTTAATATTTCTGCAAAAATGTTTTGCTCTATACCCAGCCTACCTATTTAGAGTTCCCACTATAGTTGTGGGTTCTCAGGTACAGTTTGTGGGTCTTAGGCCCTCAAACACATTGGCATCTGGTTTAGTGGGGCAGGTCCTGAGTCATGTGGAAAACATCAGGCCACATTGTTAATTTGTTGTGTCAGAGCAACGTTGGACCATTTGTGTATGTCCAAAACAGACTGAATCTGTAATGAACTCCTATGCCTGCTGTACCCAAAAGGAAAACAGATCGTAGATTTTTTTTTTCTAATTCAGACTTTTTTCTCATTAATTATTAAAGGTAAATACAAGAATTAATTTTACTTTATTGACTAGGTAATATCTTCAGAACTTATTAACAACAATACCCTCATGGATGCTACACTTATCCACAAACAACCTCAGGTAGAATGCCTTTGAAGCACTCAGTTATTCAGCTTTATGGTTGTATATATTTGAGTCTGCAGAAGAATAAGCTGAAAGATGGAAAGGATATGTATTTGTAACGATGCACTTGAAATATGTGTTTCTTAGAAATGCTTTGAATGTAGTGAAGAACGATTTGATAGCAAAAGTGGATGAACTGACCTGTGAGAAAGATGTGCTGCAAGGGGAGCTGGAGGCTGTGAAACAAGCCAAATTGAAGCTGGAGGAAAAGAACAAAGAGCTGGAGGAAGAGCTGAGGAAGTAAGTGTTCACTGTGTTGCTCTAAACCTGACAGTCTTGGCCAGTGAGCCTGCACCGCTGATAAGGAGAGCCCCGAGACTGGTGCCGACGCCCTTCTCAGACCAGGAAGGGCCAGAGCTGCCTGGAACAGGGTCAGGTGCCACCTGATCGCCTCTGCTGTGAGCAGGTCCCCATTTACTGAATATTAGCATTATTGTGTTTGTCACGATATGAAAAAAAGTTAGAAGAACTATTGAAATACTGCTAATAAGGAAATTAGAAACACTTTTCTTTCACCCAACCTTTTTTAATACGTGGGTCCCCCACCCCCCCTTGTACAGTGCTGTGGTAATGTTATCCTAAGTAAAGGCAGCTAAATAAAGCCTGTTTGGAAAAAAAATAATCATTTGGTGGTGGCTAAAATTTGTTACCTACTCTTTCATTCTTTGAAAAGGTGAACTCAACTCGCGTAACATGTTTTGTGTGTTTTTCCCACTAGAGCTCGTGCAGAAGCTGAAGATGCAAGGCAAAAAGCAAAAGATGACGACGATGTAGGTTTGCATGTTGGGGGCTTTTTTTCTTACCACAATTTTGTACTGGGGGGAAGTCTCACTGATTAAACTTTGGGTCGAGTATTATAAAGATTTTAAAAAGCCAGAGGCATGTTTGTGGTCAGGAGTCGGGTAGCTTCTGCTCCGTGTGCTGTCCAGATACAGTTTTCTAGCTGCATGTGACGTGCTTATTTTCCTCTGGCTCTGTGCTCTGACCTGCACATTGACGCTCATGGACCAACAGGGACATTTTGAGTTGTGGGTTTTTGTTTGGCCACAAATTTTCACTTAGAAATATGAACAATTAATAAAAATTGTTTAATAGCATTAAACATTAAAAAGATGAAGGGAAGAAAGTGGGTGGGGATGGTAAATGGTGATAAAAAAATAAAGTCTACGTTTAATATTAGATCACTAGCCCATAATGTTATCAACATATTTCAATACAAAAATATAAATATGAGCTTCTTCCCAATATTATTAGCATACTAGGCTATTCTGTTGGTAACTATTTTATGATTCCTATAACAGGTGCTTGCTACTTGAGCTTTAGACTTGAGCTATATGGGTGTCCTGGACAGAATAATTAGTTGGTGCCCCTTCAGTCTCATATTTGTTTTTTAATACAATATTTGATACATAAAATATATATGTAACATAACTAAGTTATGGATATAACTTAATATTAGAATTAACATTATGAACCCAACTGACACTCTAACCAACTGAGCTACCCAGCCAGGGCCAGCAATTAACTTCTTTGGTTAAAGTTTAAAATCTCTACTAGTCTTTGTATTTCTTTTATTTTCAAATATCTGTATTTATATTTGGAAATTAAATTGTCTACCTCTTTTTGTTAATAAGTAATTATTTATATCTCTTTTTTCATAGTTTTTTTACATTAAATCTTTATTGTTCACATTATTACAGTTGTTCCTCTTTTTTCCCCCCATAGCTCCCCTCCACCCAGTTTCCACCCCACCCTCTGCCCTTACCCCTCCCACTGTCCTCATCCATAGGTGTACGATTTTTGTCCAGTCTCTTTCCCCACCCCCACACCCCTTTCCCCCCAAGAATTGTCAGTCCGCTTCCTTTCCATGCCCCTGGTTCTATTATATTCACCAGTTTACTCTGTTCATTAGATTTTTTATTCACTTGATTTTTAGATTCACTTGTTGATAGATATGTATTTGCTGTTCACAATTTTTATCTTTACCTTTTTCTTCTTCCTCTTCTTAAAGAATACCTTGCAGCATTTCAAATCTTTGACTTGATTCTTGGGATCCTCTTGTCTGCTGT